CAAAGAGTCCAAATTGATTTTAGTCATGCAACAGCTCCACATAACTCTGCCATAGACACACCAGTTGCTGGAGTACCAAAAAGCTGTGTATTTTAATTGATCCATGACAATCGGTGGCATATGGAACGCGTGATGGAAATTTTCTGGTGCTTGATAGCCACAACAGTGAAACGCTGTGATAGTAATTTTTCTTAAATTTCCATCTTTTATTTCCAGTTACATTAAGAAGCTCCTAGAGGACAGAGCTGTTGGTGAGGAAGGAGTCGAGTTATGGTGCATTTACATGGTATGAATCTGTTCATAAGCCGTATGAATTTTCCTATAAAAGAAGCACCAACTCTATGAAGAAATGAATGAAAGCGATATATATTTAACAATTTTGACTTGTATACTAGACAATATTTTTTTTGTAAACAACAAATAAAAAAATTTTATTTTATGCTAGCTTCGAAACTAGAAGCTTATTTTTTTGTTAAATGTGCTTTAAAAAGGACCTACTGCCAATAAAGCCTTGTGGATTGCTATTTTTCCATATTTGAAATGCTTCCATTTAAACATCTTTGTGGAAAAACAGTTTTTTGTTCAGAATTGCTTGTTTACGAAACGTTTGGCATAAGTTGAAATCATAGGGATGCCGTTTTCTTCCGTTTCTCAGTGGATTTTATTCTTGAAAAGGCACCAAAATATGTATGCAATACTTCTACATATCTTCGTTTAAAGCACAAAACCGCGCATCAAGGAAATGCAAAACCTCGTATGGGAGGTTGCCTAAATTTTAAAAACGGTTCTCTCTTTTAAACTTAATAATCTTCTCTCCTTATGTCTAAGTCGATATTTTATTATATCGATATTTTATTATAAATGGCTAAGGGCTTGATGTCAGGAGCTTCCGATGACCAAATATCTTTTTTGGCACAAATTTCAGTTCCGAGGTTTTGCAGAACCACGATACGCGCTTTTGTACTTTAAACGACGAATATGTATATCGCTTGAACAATATGTTAGCGTTTGGCCTAGCTTCTCCTCCGATATGCGGCGTGCGTGATTTTGTCACACAAAGTAAAGAACAGTTTTACGCCGACTCCGAACGGCAATTGTATTTTAATGAGAAGTTGTTTCCATGACAGAATACACTCGGAAGTTTACTATTACCAACAGAGGGGCAACCACTATTAGAAAAACTGGGCTTGAATTCAGGCTCTGCGTAATGCTCTACAGCAGCCGCCACTACTTTTACATATATTGCTGGTATATTCAAAATACTATCCCGAACTTCGGAGTGTATATATGTAATATAAAAAAGAATGAGAGGTACTATAAGAAAATGTACCCAAAATTCTGGAGCAAATGAAAAAATGCTCATTGAAAATAGTTCACATGTATAAATTAAAAGTATAACTTAATAGGTTACAGCGCTAAACAAAAGGAAAAGTTAGAAAAAATAGCAATGCGGTTTGAAGGTAACATGAAGCCATAAAATGCTTGTTTGTTTCGGTAATACTCTGAACTTTGTAAGATGTAGTTTGCAAATATTACTAATGGTTCTAAAATCGCAAACATTTTCGTGGGATGTTTTTGTTTGATTTCGAATTGAAAATACGATCATATTGTACCGAAATAAGTGCGGTATCTCTGCATTTTTGTAAAAGTCAGAAAGAAGCATAAACTGTATGAAAAAATTAAAGGGAGAAGTATACATGCCTTCTATAATTTTGACTTATATTTATATTTGCCAAGTCTTTGTGTAAACAACATAAAATACAAATTTTCATTTCTTTGCCAGCTTGAAAAATATAGGCTTATTTTTACTTAAACGTGATATAAAGCTCATTAAAATGTTCTGTAATGTCTTGTTGTAAGTTTGTTATCATAGTTCTTCGTATTTTTATTGTCCACTAAACGTGAGTGGCTTCAATTTAAAAAGTTCTAGTACAAAGAATTTCTTTGTTTTGAAATTGTTTGTTTATTGTTTTTAATTTTTAAAATTCATACTTTTGACATGTATGTGAATGGCGGAGTTGCCGCTTTCCTCCTTTTCGGTGGGTTTTTATATTAAAAAGGCATCAAAATGGGAAAAATCCTCCTTGGTATCTCTGCATATGTTAAACTTTTTATGGGAAGATGTATGAAAATTCAACTTGCTATAATTTCATATGCTTAACAGTATCACAAAAGTATGTTTACAGTATCTCCCCATAACTTTTCATATGAAAAAATTTATTATATGCATCCCACTCGATATCATTGAATTCCTCATTATCTATTTTAACGTATCAACAGTTCATAAGGCTTCATACCATGTAAATGCGCCATTACTGCAGTACTGCAAATGGGAAAATCCGCATTTCGCACGTGCCCCACTCGTATGGAATAGTAGCTTATGTCAAAAGGCTGGTTTTAGTATAATGCGGCATTCGCAGCATACCCTCACTGGCACCGAGCCGTTGAAGAAATTTTGGCAAATAAACATGCAAGAAATAGTTCCAATACCAGCACGTCCATATTCTTGTTAAGGGTCATCAAAAAATTCCTTGTGTAGTAAATAATAAAGAGAATGCCGGATTATACTAAAGCCAGCTTCCCGACATAAACTACTATTCCATACGAACACAGAAATATAAATGTATCTAAAACTGAATAACTCTAATCAAATTGGATTGCATTTGCATAATATACCTAATATTGGAATCTGTTTTGATCGTAAAAAATACAACTTGCAATCATTTAGATTATAGTTTTGAAAGAAATTGATTGCAATCGTAAATTGTGTAAAAATTGTTAATAGCCAGGTTGCTTTAAATTTATGTTCCCCATGTAACGGTTATAAAATGCGTTAAATCCGCACTATCTGCATTAACAAAAAAAGATACATTGGAATATTTAAAATAAAGCGATTCATATTTATTTTCTAATAAGAATTGGTTCTTAATTGAAAGTATTTAATACTAATATAATGTAGTGGTTAATGTTTAAAAATGAATTCGCAATATGTCCGCAGCTCAGGTTGAATTGAAGAAATCCGTTTAAACTTTTCGAATTACATCTACTTGAATATAGGATAGGCAGGGTTGGATACAAATGGTAGTTCCGTAAATA